TCTCTCTCTCTCTCTCTCTCTCTCTCACACACACACACACACACACACACACACACACACACACACACACACACAAATATAAAAAGCTATAATCAACATTGCAGTTAATCCTGCTATTTAGATAAAAATATCCTAATTTTTATCCTATTTATTTAGATAAAAGAAAATACAAATTTAATCAAAATGGTGCCCCCTGTTGGCTCAATGGTCAATTTCGGGGATTATAACGCTTGAATTCGGGTTTCGATACCTGTAATGAGCAGAGCACAGATGACTTGTTGTGTAGTTTTGCGTCTAACAACTACCAAACTGAAACAATATGTCGCAATAAATGGACCCCTACTGGTAGTGAACGCTATTACAACGATTTGCAACTAAAAATGATTGAAAGTCTTGAGGTCTTGTACAAGTTGAACAGAAAGTTTGATAAATTGATAAACCTTGATCAAAGTTCTTTTTCTGAGTATATGTGTTTATTGAATACAAAGCTATTATTGTATTATAGGATAAAAGGGATTTACCAGGTGTTGATGATAACCTAGAAGTAGTTTTATTGATAACCCAAACGCCAGCTGTGTGTTCTTCTCCAGCATTATCAAACAATCTTTGAGGCTGCTGTTGCAATTAAGTGGTTTTTTGAACAAAGTCTTTAAACCCAAAATTGTTGAACAACTTTAAACATTTTTGTTCCTTTGAAGCGTTATTTTTTACCTTACGTTTCATACTGAAAAACCACGCATTGTTAACTGCTAATTTTCATTCCTGTTCGTTTCTTACCTTACGTTTCATTCTGAAAAAACACGCATTGTTAACTACTAATTTTCATTCCTGTTATTTTTTTACCGTACGTTTCATACTGAAAAACCACGCATTTTTAACTGCTACTTTTCATTCCTGTTATTTGTTTACCTTACGTTTCATGCTGAAAACCACGCATTGTTAACTGCTAATTTTCATTCCTGCTATTTTTTAACCTTACGCTGCATGCTGAATAATAACTACTGTTAATTTCCAATCATGCAATTTTTTAACCTTGCTGAAAAACCACCGCCTGTAAGTATTTTATTACTCGTCAAAAAAAATCCTTGTTTTTTTGTACTCTGTTGCTTTATTGGAACTTTGGTAGATACACCTTCACATACTGACCTTCTGAAACCGTGTTTATTCAGATTTTCAGAAAGAATTAGTAGTATTTTTTTTTCTAATATTTCCGTTTTGTGATAGTAAAACTAAATGTGTTAAGTCTGCATCACTCAGGTAACAAAATTTCTAACACACGATGCAGCTGAGAACTACAGTTTGAAGCTGTATGAGGTTTTATCAACTTTTATCGTGTTTTCAGTTTTGTACTCTCGTTTGTCTTTTCTTTGTTTTTAATTTTCCATTTATGGATGCAGTATTGTTTTGTGGTTTATGTTTTGAAACGGTTTAATGTAAGGTTACATTTAGTTTACAGTTTGACCCTCAGATTTCAAATATAGGTAAATTTTTAGGTCAGAAAACAGAACATAAATATTTCTTTGTTGACCTAAGGATTATGCTAGTATATTGATCAATGTTTTGTGTTCATAATGCCATTATTTCTCCTTACAACATTGTGTTCGTGATAGGATTTGGCATGTTTTCCATATTTCCTCCTAGAACAGTGGGGTTTTCGTAGAAAGTATCCCTATAACAGTGTTTTTGACTTGTTTTCCATGTGTGTCGTATTTTTCTATATATAACTGTATTTTTAGTAGTATTGTCTTGTTTCTAATGTGCCATTATTTTATCCGAAAAAAGTTTTCTTTGGGAGTTTTTTTTTTTTCCAGTGTGTCATATTTCTTTCTAGAACGTTGTTTTTTGTTAGAATTGTGTTTTCAATATATTTCATTGTTTCCTAAAAACAGTATATCTCTTAAAATGTAATCGAAAAATGCACAAAGACAGACATACCAAAAACAAAGTTAACCTATGTAGTCATAGGTTTGCTACTTTTTTGGGGGGCATGTCTTGTCTTTGCGCGTTTTTGAACTATTTTTTTTAAAGGTATTTTCACTTCATTGTTTTATGATTACTGACAACTTTCGTCCACTTTATAATCATAATGCTAAGTTCTCATTTTGTAATTACACATTATTACTACTACTACTATATACTATTGCATTAGTTTCTCAATCACTGTTGTTTTTCTTCTTCTTCTTTTCATTGTAATTGTTTCCCAAAGATCTGTGTAGAAAAATCGATGTGTGCTTAAACGTTAAGCCTAGGCCTTAACTGAATTTTGATAGTAAGCAAACTAAGTTAAATTATATTTAAATCAATTCAGTATAGAAGGCATATGAACGTCTCATTACGAATAACTGTTTGAACTTACATTTGCTGTAAACGTCATCATTAGTAAACACGTGGTTCTCGTTACTCCTGTTTTGATTATTCTCGTTTCGTCAGATATTGGCAAAATACTTCAATCTCCGTTCTGTTAAGGACAGATTGATCGAAAAAAAATACAAAAAAACACGTTATCTTTTCGTCGATGTTATCTTGACTTTAGGCTGCTCTGTTACAACAGATAGATGAATGGATAGTATGATTTTTGATTAGATTATCAATTCGATATTTCATAGTTTGCGTTCCGTTGCCACAAGAGCAATCTCCAGTTTCGATGACGAGGAACCCACTTTGAGACTAATAATGGTTTGAGACGGCTTGAACGGGTAATGAAGAAAAACTTTAATATAACAGCAAATGTACAACGTTTCGACAAGGTTTTGTCATCATCAGGTACATCGCACTTTGGTATCATGGGTGCACGCTACAAGTGGTGGTCAAATCCCACGGTTAGTTCAGACAGTAATCTAAGAGCTGATGATGAGTGGTATTGGCTAGTTTGTTCCTTCTAGTCTATTACTTAAATAAACAGTATTCTCTCATTTTTCTTTCCTCCGTTATTTAACGAGTAAA